TTTTTGTCTTTTTACAATCAGATATGCCCAAGAGGCTATTGTTCAATACAAGAACTGAGCAGCTGGGCTGGGAAATGAGAAACAATAGTGTATTTAAATGCTATTTATATATGCAATGTAAACACTTTTAAATTTGGAGTCTTTGATACAAAAAGTTCCAATGTATTGGAAACCAACAGGCCTAATAATTGTGATCAAAATCATATTAGACTGTAGATTTGTTTTTTTATTGTTAACTAGAAACAGCTGTGAAACATACACCCATAGATTAACGTAATTTTTATCACAAATGTTAAACCTATTTGTACATTCCAAAATATAATTGGTAGTAGGCTGTTATGAATATACAAACTGTATTGATTATCAGATGATAAAAACAAGCAAAACACTGGGTTGTAGAGGCTGAATTTATCATAGAAAGTCTTTGCACTTTTATATTGTGTGTTTTGAAGTTAAGTTAATACTTTCATAAGTGATTAACTTATTTTATTTATAGAATTTATTGTGTTTTGAAAAAAAAATTCGTATCAAGACTTGTATGTTAAAACATGTTTGTTTAACATTAAATCCTCTAGCTATTACATTTTTTTATTGAATTTTTCATGTAGTTTGGTATTTCATCTTTCTTTTAGCTTGCACTTCACATAAGAATTGAAAGATCAATAATGTTATGTTTAATTATATTTGCCAAAAGACATTAGTCTTAGCCCTATTATATTTTTTAACACTAAATTCTTTACCTAGTCCATGAGAGATTTTCAAGAATTGGAACACTATTTATATAAGCATCTGCTACAACAACAACAATAGTTATTTTGTGAATGTTTTAAAAAATTATAATATAACACTAATGCCTTCTGACAAGTATAATGAATTATAATCATGCTTTGCCTGCTTGAAAAGGGGGGTTGAAACCATAACAAATGTTATATTTAGCCACTTTAGTGTGTTCACAGAGTTTTTGGATGATGCACTTGTATTTATCACTTATTCAGCTGATCAGTTTGATGTTTTTCATCAAAGTAATAAGTGTATTCTATTTATGAACGTTTTATATTTACAAGTATAATAAAAAAAAATAATTTTATAAAGACAAGTAGGGACTGATATATATGTAACCTAGTAATATAGAAAGTTTTAATACTACAAAAAGTATTGAAACAAGACAATCAAAAATAGGATTTTATCCTTACTTTGGCAAATCATTGTAATTATGTTAGTCTGTACCAAAGTAGGGATAAAATTTTTTAAATTTTAACTAACTCAGTTTTTGTAGAAAATCAAGTTTTTGCAACTGTAAAAGTTGCTGTTTTTGTGTTTTTTAATTTAAAAAAAATTGTTCTTATAAAAGTTATGTATTATAAAAACAAAAGGTACAGCTTTCCAGGCATGATGGCAAATAAGGAATCTGTTGTTTGAATAATGCAGTTTTAAGATATTTTGCATGTTGATGTAGATGGATACATCAAAGAAAATTTTATTTTATTTTTAGATGATGATGAATGTGAACTGGGAACACACAACTGTGGAAGAGGATATACTTGTCGAAATCTGGAGGGATCCTTTCGCTGTCAGAGGACCACATGTCCTCGTGGTCAAAGACTCTTATCAGATGGAACTTGTACCATTCCAAGCTGCGGTGTTGGAATGGAAGTGAATTCTGCTGGGTATTGTGTTGGTGGGTTTGTAGTGCTAATTTTTTTTAAAAAGTTTTACATCTCTAGTTATTAAATGAGAACATGAGAAAAAAGACAAAATACTTAAGGATTTGTTTACCACTTAACATTTGCATTTAATATCATGTATTGTTAAATGTTTTTGGTTGAGCATTTTTGATATATTTCTAATTTACCAGGAACTATAAATATCCAGATTTTTTACAACCATGAAAATTAATGAATTTGAGTTACTGGAATTTATAACCCAATAGAAAATCACTAATTGATAAACTCGAATTTTATCATTCTGAATTAGACATTAACGAATGCCAGCAGAATCCAGATATTTGTGAAACTTATCAAAGGTGCCGAAATTCGATAGGGTCATACTATTGTGAGGATAAGATAAGATGTGGAAATGGATTTGAACCCAACCAGTATGGAACAGCATGTAATGGTAATTTGTTTTGTTTTGTTTTCATCAGTGGAAAACAGAAATGATTAGTCAGCAGTATTGCTATGTAGAAAAACCAAACTTTTTGGTCCATTAAAAACTTTTTAATATTACTAGTATTGTTTGCAGATACTTTGTATCTAGTTCCTGAACCTATTCATTTGGTAGGTTAGTGGTATTTCAAATTTAAGAATAGATAGAGCACATTGTTACCTGCCTGTTTGGTGTATGGAAGGACAAGTGTACAGATGTGTTACCAGTTGAATTAAAGATGAGTCATTGAAAGATCAACAAAAAAAAAAACATTATTTACAAATACAGAATGATTTGGACAGCAGCTGAACACTTGGTAATTGAAGTACCTGGTTAAAACCAGATGAATATATATTTGTATTTAAATAGAAGAGAGTAAAATACACTGAATTTTATGACATAAATGCTTTTTCCAATTTGGCAAAGCATGATTATATTATACTTGCCATAAGACATTAGCATTAGACCTATTATATTTCAACACTGCATTCTTTATGTAGTCCATTAGGTATTTTTCAAGAATTAGAAGAGTTTATAATAATAGTAATCCAATGACAATGTGTACACCATATCTATTGCAGATGATGAGTTTCACTAAATCCTGAGCTCATTAGGCCAGCTGGGACAAAACAAACACAGTATTGGAACACTTTTTATATAGACCTTTTGCTACAACAACAATTGTTGTGGTGTGAACACCTTTTAGAAGCTGGTGAAGTAATATTACAATTAATTATACTTACCATAATACACTAGTATTAGGCTTATTATATTTTTAACACTGTATTCTTTATGTAGTTCCTTAGGGATTTTTAAGAATTAGAGGAGTGTAGAATAATAATAGCATTACAACCACACCATGTCTTCTATATCCATTGCTAATAAAACATTTCACACAATTCAGAACTCATTGGGCCAACTGGAACACAATGAACATGGTAGTGGTTGGAACACTGTTTACAAATGGCATTTGTTACACAACAATAGTTATGGTGTGAATACCTCTTCCAAGCTGGATATGGCAAATATATTGTGGTTGAAATACTATTATTAAACACTCTTCTAATTCTTGAAAATCCCTAATGGATGTGATAAAGAATGCAGCATTAAAAAGATAATAGTTATAATAATGCCTTATTACAAGGATAAATGAACTGAAATTAAATTTTAGTCTAAATTTGATATGTTTGATGTAATTGAACTAGGTGATAAAATGCATGAAGCACTGATAGAGACAACGTGGATGAGGACTTCACAACATGTGCTGAATTTTTCACAGTTGAATTGGGATCTTTCTGAAAGTGGCAATATTCCTCTCACAGTATATACTCTCTCTTTATATATAAATAACCAATTACAAGATTGGATTATTAAAATCTGGATGTATATCTGCCTTTTAATATGTCATATCGTAGTGTAACCTAACATTCAAGGTGGTGTTGGGTAAAACACAAATATTTCTTGAAACAGCAGTTAACATCCTTGACTGGCTCATGTCAGAAAGGGTAACAACTAGTGTTGAACTAGCACGTGACCTTGTCCAAATTTAGCAAGTTTGGAACTGGAACTCTAGAGAACTTTAATATTTTGTTCACTGTATTAATATATTTTATAGGAGATTGGGATATGGGAGTATATTTATATCACACATTGTGTATGTATATTTAGTTATGTGTATAGAAGGTTTGGTTTTTCATAGATAGAAAACAAACAAATATGTAGTGTATTTAGTATTTTATGTGGAAATGGCATTTACCTAGTTAGCCAGATAAATAGTCTCATGTAAGGAGTGATTGTTACAGTGGGATACATGTTAGCATTGGGTTCTGTTAGAAAAAAATAAGTGTATGGAAAGACAATATAAAAGTAGGGCAGTGACTTTAATGTCTGCAATGAAAAACAGATATTTGTTGAAGTTACTAAATTTTTGTGATATTGTCTAATGCATTCTAGATATTATAGGCCTACTTTTATAAACTTTTTGATCTTTGTAAATATAGTGTACATCTCTGCCCCTTCCTGGATTAAGAAATCCTTTGAACAGTAATACAAAAATAGAACTGTACACCAAGTCTTTTTTGTGTTCTCATGGTATACAGATGGAATGACCTCTTGTTTCTTGTCTTCACTGTCTATTTTGTCATTGGGGAGTTCATCTTGTACAGGTGATTGAGCAAATCCACTGGTAGCTCCATCATTGTTGATCCCCTGGAAGTGGTCCCAACAGAAACCTTGAGCTCCTTAACAAGTGGAGTTTCCACTGACAAATTCTTCTCTATAATTACCCAGTTGGATGTTCTCTCAGCAATGTACTTCCGGATGATTTATTCTGTCATAGATATTCTTTTCTACCTTGTTCATGTCTTTTTGTACATCTTCAGTTTTATCATCATGATTTTTCTATACATCTTCAATCTTGTTGTCAATCAAATTTATTTGTGATTTTAATTCTTCTTTAAGTAGTACATCTCTCTCTTTTAATTCTTCACATTTTGATCATTGTAAATTCCATCTTGGTCTTCATTAAACGTTCTGTAAATTCCTTTTGGGTCTTTTTTTAATTTTCTTCTTGTTCTCTTGTTACCTCCAGTAACACTTTTATTGTACTTTTGGATCTAATTGCAATGTCAAATTGTTGTAATTGAGTCAAGCTATATTTTTTTCACCAAAATAATCCCATTTCTGATATGAGTGTTGTAACAATGTTCTTTCTTTGGGTAAGCTCTCTTAGATTATTTGAAAATGATTCAAAATCCAGTTCACATAACAATAACAAATTATTTTATTTATTCCTTACCATTTCTACAAGCTTACATAACTTGTATATTTTTGTAACTTTTGTGATGTCGTGTAGAACGTTCTAGGTATTCTAAGCTAACTTTTTATAACCTTTTAAATATCATTGTCCTATGCCCTCTAGTTAACATCTGTATATTAAATCATTGAAAATATAGCTTACTACATTGTATTGCCACATTCATTACAGAATTTATCATTCCAACAAAACTGCTTTTTGTAGTAGTAATATCGATTATTTTAATGTTCTAATATGACTTTTTAGGATTTTCTAAAGTAGAAACAAGTGTGCTTATCTCACTTTATTTATTGTTTATTATTTTGAGTACTGTATCCAAGAATTTTTCATTAATGTGTCCCCCACAGTAAATTGTTTGATAGATATTCTAAGATTGAATTTAGAAATATGATGACACTTTAATGATGGAATATAGCTTGTTCCACAAATGTATATAAAAAGGTGGTAAAAGGAATTATATAGTTTTTCTCTCTTACATATAATGAGACATTTTTTATATATATTATTTCTAATTCTTCTCAGTTTCACACCAGAGGTCTAGTGATGCATGCAAGCAGCATTTCATATATGAAAATTGCTCATTGATAATGTTGCATTGTATGTATGGACTGATGACTCATAATTTCATTTCAGATATTAATGAATGTGAAAAAGGAACACATGATTGTAGGCCAAACCAAACCTGTCAAAATCGTAGGGGAGGTTACTCTTGTGAGTGTCCAAAGGGTTATCAACAGAATGTCCGTCGTGAGTGTGAAGGTGAGGACTGGCTATTTGTGAATAAAAAAAATTTATACAAATGGCTCAGGTAATTGTAATAGAATATTCTAAATAACTTAATATTGACCATATAACTTTTCATTTTACCTAGTTTAGTTATGAAGGACAGTATTGTGAACTTATGGTATTGTTAAGTGAAGCTGATTTCCTCAAAAGAGTATTATGTAGGTCTTATATATATATATATATTTATATATATAACAGGAGGACGAGCAGGATATATTACAAAGTAATACTGAATTTAGCTAAACTAACCAAGTTTGAACAAAGAAATATATAGACTGGACATGATGTGTAACACTTAATGGGAATTATGAAAGACACAAAACACAGTGTGTGTGTGTGTGGGGGGGTATTTTGCTATGGCTACTGGATCGTCATCTTTCATTGGATTCATCAATTTATTAGTCTGCATCTTCTCTTAAGATGTATTCCTACTAAAAAGTTCACTCTAAATCTGGTACATGAATATCTAAATCTGTGATGTTTCTTAAATAAATGGAAATGTTGGATTTACCTTTAATGACTGGTGCAAACTTCATGATTGGTCATTTTCATTCAAATGTAGGGAAGGCCATAACCTCTGTCACTTGGCCTACCATTAGAGGACACTGGTTTTTGACATTCTTTCACAATGTGCAGCATTGCTGTAATTCTCTTCATGGACAGAACAGGTGTTATCTCCATAAAATGACAAAGTAACAAAGGCAGCTAGAACAAAGTCAACAACTTCCTTGATGACTTGTTACGTTAAAACTGTATATATTTAGAAGGAACAAAAATTTTTTGATATATTCCACATTAACATGAGAAAATATAAAACACGTGATATGCCTGCATACCACAAATTCAGCCAATAGATTTTTTTATAATTTTTATTTGATTATTATCATGGAATAGTTAGATACTTGAGGAAAATTACGTGTTGTAAAAAATTTGGGAGAGCATATATTTGTTTAATAAAAGTTAATAAAAACTAAAAATAGTTATTACACTTGAGATCCCATGATGTTAAGATGTTCAAAATAACACATGGTCTTGAATTGTCTGTCTCAGATACCACTTGGTTTATAGTATCTAATTCACAATCTTTCAATAATGTTTAGCATACAGGAAGTAACTGAAATTGATATTGTATTATTAAAAAACAAAATTATAAGAATGTAGATTCCTCTATAAAACAAGTTACAGTGTAACATAAACTATCTTTGCACTGTTGAACTAGCATATCTAATAATTATGAGTTATATACTTTTTTGAAATTATTAGGAAAACATACTCTCCATAAGAAATCTGCTACAAATCTGACATTTTGACATTTAAGAAAATATATATTATATCTTATTTGTAGGGCAGGCTTGCATGGCTTGGTGGCTAGGGCACTCAACTCGCAATCTGCTGGTAGTGGGGTCAAATCCTGTCACTGAACATGCACGCCCTTTCAGCCATTGGCTTGTTATAATGTTACAGTCAATCCCACCATATGTTGGCAAAGCCTAGCTCAAGAGTTGACAGTGAGTAGTGTTGACTAGCTGCCTTCTCTCTAGTGTATCACTTCATAATTACAGATGACAGTGCAGATAGCCCTTGAGTAGCTTTGTGCAGAATTCAACAAGACAAACATTTTTACAGTAGGAAAATTGTCTTACAAAATGACATTTTTTTTCTGACCTGTTTTGTTGAAGCTAATTATTTAAATACAAATATGTGCTAAGAAATATGTGAAATTAAATCCCATATCTTAATTTATGTAGACAGTTTTTAATGCTTCTTAAAGAGCTATAATTTTATCAGAATATGCAAAATTGTCGTAAAAGCTGTCTTTATGATTAGATATTTTTAAATTATCTTTTCTTAATAATACACTTTCCTCTAATATTATAATTTGATGCAAGTAATAGGGTTTGCTATCTTTAATATGATATTATGTTTGGTTATTATGTTTTGACAGATATCAATGAATGTGTGCAATATAGAAATCAAGTTTGTGCTCAGAATTCTGACTGTGAGAATACACCAGGATCCTTCAATTGTCACTGCAAATCCGGATTTCGTCAAAGCAGTGATGGACGTAACTGTGAGGGTAAGCTTTAAAACTATTTGTAAATGCTATTATATTTCTTACAGAGAAAAAACAACTTTTATTTAGAACAGAGTAGACAGTTTTATAGATGAATTATTGTTTTTTCAGTTAATACAGCAATAGAGATGGTGTAAAAATAATATGAGAAATTAACATTGTCATTTGTGAGTATCAATGTACATAATGGTGATGGTAAGTTTTGACTACATATTGATGTTATGGTGAATCAAGTTTAAAATCTTAAGCTCATTGTAATAAATGTGAAAATGAGAGTTGATTTAGCACATCACAAAATAAGCACTTCAAGTAAGTATCAGGATGAACAAACACATAAGATCTGTACAATAAAAGTTAGGTAGTTAATTGTCAGAACAGGTCATATCTTGAAGAGAATAGATGATTTTGCAACTGAACTTTGATTTTTTTGTGATAAAAATAATACTTTATGGATATTACAAAATGAGCATCTCAGCTATGTGGTTGAAATTATGCATAAAATACAATTGAAAACAAATAAGATTAAGTATAGAGTTGTATTATCCCAGTGTTTGAAGTTATTTGTGTAAAGGTTAAAATGTTATGCTTATGCTTTTAAGAATTTTTGTTAAATAAAATAATATATATATTTAAATTTACAGTCTACAAGTAGCAGCATCTTATGTGATTATATTAAATATTTGTGAATTTAACCTACACAATGGCTGTGATAGCTATCTTTAACTGATGTTCTTATGTGTATTCAACCTTTTGGTTAGTCATTTCACATTTTACTTACTAGCCTATAGTAGGTAGGCATAGTAATGATCACAAATGGTTAATTCTTTAATAAGTAATGAAAAGATTGTCTTGGGCAAACCCCTCAGAGTAGGATGTAATATATACACTTTATCAACTGCTACCACTTTGGGAAAAGGTTTGTTGTTGTTTTTTAAGTGGTCAGAAGCACTTATTCTATACATATACAAATGAAACAAAATACACATACTTGTTGCTTTTAACTTAAACTAGATTTCATGATTATAAAAGAATAGCTACCAAAGAAGAAAGTTTTTGTACTTTTTACTATCCAATTAATGAAGATTGAAGTTGTGCAAAAAAAAAAAATGCTTTAATCCTTTTTTTTTTACTAATCATTTCAATAACACTTTTTCAAGTGTTTTTTAAGTAGTGTTAGTTTCTCATGGACTTCCCTTACATCTTTGATTTTGTTGATCACAACTTGCATAGTTTTGATTTCTTAAAAAACTACAAAAAAAAATGAATACCTGTTTCTAGATTTTAATAATAACTTAATGGTTCTAACACTCTTTTTACACATGTTTAAATGAGAATTCTTGAATTTCTTTTAAGTTTTTTGTTTCTGTCTCTTCAGATATTGATGAATGCAAAGACACTCCTGGGATCTGCCAACAGAACTGCAGGAATACTTGGGGATCTTATTTTTGTTCGTGTAATGTTGGATATCGTCTTCAATCTGATAACAGGGCTTGTCAAGGTAAGTTTTGCTGTAGTTGTATTAGAAAAATAATTAACTATTTATGTGTAGTATTCCAAGATTCAGAATAAATAGTTACCTGATTACTGCATCAGTGAGTGGCTTGTGAATCTAGTATGTGGAAAGATGAGCATAACGATTTGTCACCAAGTGAACAAAAATGACGAGATTCAGTGTAAAGATGAAACAGGAAGAGTACTACTGTAATACCTGAATGATTAAGACTAAATGGGGGGAAAAACAGGACTTGAATAAAAGAATAGGGAGATAAAGCACATTGTTAACAGCCAAAAGATCAAATGTAGAGACAATATGGCCAAGACTTTATTTTCCAAAAAGTAAAAATTGCTCTCACAAAATTAATACACATTCTTTCTCTGTTGCTCACTTATCACATAATTAAATCACAAGAATTTGGATGTATCTCTGCCTTGTGAAAGCTGTAAAACAAATATCACACTCAAGGTGGTATTGGGTACAGTGCAATTATTCTATGAAATAAGAGGTAGCATTGATACTTGAAACCGCCGGCACTCGGTACAACTCCATAATTACAGAATTGGGGGGAAAAAAAGGCAGTTTTACATTTCACAAATACTTCATTTATTAACCACCATAGTTTTTCCACTAAGGAAATCATCAGGAAAACAGGTTTATATATCTTTAACCAAGGAAAAGGAAATAACCTTAACATTCACCTAGAAACAAGTTGGGAGGAGCTTAAACTGGTTTGGTCGTTTAGAACTTTTCTGTATTTGTTTTTAGACTTCTGTTTATTTCTAAAATTTCCAAGCTATCTAGTTTTTATCTTTTAACCATAAATAAACATGTTTACAAACCATTTCAGTCTGTACCCAATGATGCCTTTAGTGGCAAAAACCATGATCATTAATAAACGAAGTGTTTGTAAAACGTACAATTGTCTTTGTTTTTTTTCCTCAATTCTATAATCAGTATTGTCCTTTACCAACTCATGCTACAGAAAATTAGGACATGATCTGGTCCGAAGATATTTCATAAACTAAAATTTTAGAAAAATATAATTTTTTTTTGTTTTGACTATACTACAGAAAAGTAAGATGTGTTGTATCTGTATACCATATATATATGACTTCTGAAATATTGAAAGGGATATTTGTTTATAAAAGTGAACTTATAATGTTTGATATTATTTCAAAAGTAGAATATTATTATCTAGAAAGCATTTTAGAAGGGTTTGATCTCTATATTTGACAGTGATTATAAGGATTCATTACTTGAAAACTCTACAACTTTAACTGATTGTAGAAGCACTATGTAGTATAATTACATTTTAATCTTATAAGTATCAAATCCTCTTTTCAAGATATTGATGAGTGTGAAGAATGGAAGGGTCGAGGCAATTTATGTATTGGCTTTTGTGTAAATGAGCCAGGTTCATACTCTTGTTCATGCCCTAGTGGGTACAGACTACAAGAAGATGAACGAACCTGTGAAGGTAAGTAGCTATTGCTCTCCGTACCATACAAAATAGGAATTAAGTATCCAAACTACTCAAAGTGACTTCTATTAGATAAAAATACAAAACCAAATAGCTTGGTTTTCTTTTTTAATGACTAAAGATATAACAATATATGTGTTAAAGTTGATATTGTATTGGTGACTTCAGGATATGAACAGAGATGTAAGTTTATAGTGATATAATTGTCCTAATGATTAGAGATATTGTTATTGTAGGTAGAGACCCTTCTGCATTAAATTACATTTTGTAAAGATTTGGGAAAGTCCAGAAATGCCAAGAAGTTATAGGACTGTCTTGTATAAAGCGTGGGTTAACACTGGACTGTGATGGTCACAGAATATCTTTGTACCCCTAACTGCACACTTAGCTAACTTTGGATAAACCTTGAAAAACTTATATAGTCACTCTGAAGAGTTTTCTTACTGGAAAATATCTGTCAGCAACCACATGAATAGCATCCTTAGGCAGTAATCCTTCCTTTCAGAGAAATGCAATGGACTGAACAAATCAGATTTAAATATTTTTTTTCTCTGAGATGGAAAATGCTTGTCCATATAGTATACAGACATATCAAGGTTGAACAAAGTGTTGATTCTAAACCTTCCTTTTGCACTGGTCAATAACTTCATCCTGAGGATTCATATAGCTCTTCTTACGCACTGTCAACTGAGACTCGCAAGTCTCATATAGTTTCATTACTTGTGGAAGATCAATAATTTCAGATTGAAGATAGTTAGATACAGGATTTGTGTTGTCAAAAATTTTCTTGAATGAATTAATAATAATGAGAGTTTCAAATGAAAGAAGGTTTTTGCAAAGTCCAACTACCTCGGAGATTGTGCTTATCAAGTTGACCTTCAATAAAGCATTGGAAAAGCTTTTCTTCACTTGCAAAGAACACATTACTGAGAGCTTTGCGATGGGACCTCAAAGAGTAGTTTAAACCTGCTGTGGCTGGTGAACTGGAGATATGCCATGATGAATATGCACCTCTACAGAACAGTACTTCTCTTGCAATATGCAGTGAAATTGTACATCTTCTCCAAAAGACCAAACAATCATTTGTAAACAGTCATTTGGTTGGCAGAAGCATTACATAATACATACCTGCGTTAAAACTGTAGATTCATGCATGGTCAAACATTCAAATGTAGAGGTAGTTTGGATTTTCCTTTTCTTTCAGTGCAATGATACTGACATACTGTTGTGACATTAGTTTAATGCTGTTATATGATTAACTGATTTCATGTCATTGGTCAATTCCCTCAACATTGATCAATTTCCTTGAGAATGTTAAACATACTCTTATTAGATAAATCTTCCACATGCACCACTTCTAGCAAGTGCTTCAGAACTCGGAGATCAGCTGTGATATACCCGATACAGTTGATGTTTTCATTGGGAGTATCAGTAGTGCAAATCATGATTGTACTGAAATATCCCTCCTTTTGAACTTTGGTAGCTATAGTTTGGAATATTTCATCAACAGTATTTGAAATGAACCTGTTTGTGATTCAAGACTTAAGAAAGTAAGGGTTTAACCATGGCTACCATGTGTAGTCTTTGGTCCTTTTGCCATCTTTTCATCCATAACTTTCTTCAAATGTTCCCCAAGCACCCTGTAATATTTGGCAAGAAATGCCATGTGCCCCAGAAAATTGCTGTGATTCAAAGTAATGTCTCCAACATTTTTGTGTCACGATAAAGCAAAACATATTTGGCTAAAAACTTAACAATGTTGGACTAGCATGGCCAGGTGGTTAGGATGCTCAATTCGCAATCTGTGTGTTGTGGGTTCGAATTCCTATTCCATCAAACATGCTCTCCCTTTTAGCTATGTGGGCATTATAATTTGACAGTCAATTCTACTATTTGTTGGTAAAAGAGTAGCCCAAGAGTTGGCAGTGAATGATGATGACTAATTGCCTTCCCTCTAGTGTTTCACTGTTAAATCAGGTCTGTCTAGCACAGGTAGCCCTCATGTAGCTTTGTGCAAAATTCCAAATAAACCAAACTGAATAATTTTAGTCTGATGTGTCTACACATCTTGATTTTTGATAAGTACATTCTTGCAATGAAATTCTTCTTGCCTGGCTTGCACATTCAGTAAAAAGATTACAGGCTGGCTCGTGTAATTATGCATGGGACAATGACAGCATCTAGGTGAATGGTTTGATTGTCCATGATCTTCCAGTAGTTGTTTCCCATCCATATGGTATGAGAATCCTTTTTTTTTAGTAAATGTGTATGCTTATCCCTTGTATTCACATTATGAACAAGATACAATAATGACAGAACATAAAATGTGTATTTGGCAACTAGAATAACCATTGACTTCATACAGGAACTTCAGATTTACTTTTTCACAAAATACCAGGATTCATGAAATGAGTGATATACATTCCCAAATTTGTGCTTCTGAAATCCCTAATAAAGTTCAGTTTCCTTTGACTGGCATGGGTTTTACTGAAAAAGCAATTTTCAGAACTTGTCTGTCAATTATTTTCCCCACCAAAAGAAAATGAATCTGAAAAAAATTTCTGTTAAGAACAAATGCCTCAACATCATCATCAATCTCTTTCGCATTCTGTTGATCATCGAACTATTTCACTGACAATTTTTAATACTGAAACTACTAAAATTATCAGTACTGCTAGCAGTAAAATTGACAGCAAAATTTCTTCATAAAGGACAGAAACTGTTATTTCGTATCATCATCATCATCAACTGATTCTTCTTTTTCTCCAGCCTTCTTTTTTTGTTGCTTTGACATTTTATTTGAAACTGACCAGTTATAACTCACTTTGGACTTCTACTTGCTTTCTGCTAACATTCAACAAAATGCATATCATGTTGAGGTATCTCCTGATCTTGTATTATCTTCTTTAAAGTTTAAGCATGAGGTGTTGTAGTTGAGATTTTCTTTCTGGTTTGTGTTTAGCTCTTGCAGTTCTTGCTCTTGATTCTTTAGTTTTTTTGTCAGCTGCTACTGTAGCTGATAAAGGATATATTGGTGCCCCAACCATTTGGATATCTTCACACCCACCTTACTCCAGGGTATCTGTGTGGTGCTTTTCATCATGCCTTTTTTTTTTCAAAGTGGTGACCACAAACCAAAAACTGATCTTTGGTTCTTGTGTACTTCTTTTTGTGGTATTCATTGAGTCAGACTGTCAGAGAAAACCTTGTAACAGTAATGCAACTGTAATTTAATAGTTCCTGTTTGCTTAGCTGCTGAGATTTGAAAATATAATCTTCATCACTCGTCACTCTGTGAGATCTATAGACACCATTGTTACAGCCCACTAATCAACTGTTACTAAACAGAACTTACAAACTCTATGTACCTTTCATATTTACAATTCAACAACAGTTTTCAAAATACCAAGAACACATAGGGAGAAATTTCCAGAAACCTATTATATTTTAAAAATATACTATTTAAATACTACAGGCAACATTACTAACATAGTAATGTATCAATATAAAAACTTCACACACTAGCAGCCTGATATCACAATTCATGCAGAATATTTTAATGGCCATGATTAACAACCAATGTCTTGAAGGTATACTGTTTCACTCTTATGTTAATGTCAAATTAATCACATCATACATACAATTCCAAAAACAAGCAGTTCAAATTTGCTTAGTCATGCTCAGTACCAAAACCATTATGCCGGGTGTATTTCAGTTAGGCCTACATCAACTAATATACATGTTCTAAGTAAGTATTACATGTATTTATTTGTTTGGGTGCAAAATATTTCTGGTTTGAGTCAAATACATCTAGATATCTCCCTTGGTCAACCAAAATCCCCAATTTGAGTCAAGTTGAACCTCTTAAAGACACTTTGGAATGTCATCTGAGGCGATAGAAGTAACAAATCTTAAAACGTCACTGCAGTTTAAGCTGTTGTTTTGCAAAAGGAATGGCAGACTATTCCACCAGATATTTACCACCGAGTTGTGCTGTTTGGACGTTTTGTCTGGTTCATAATGTTTCTATCTGATAACAGATAAATAAATTGGCCTTGGCCATGATCGTGATGGTGGTAGGTTTTGTTGAATATTTATTGTTGATAAGAATTAGCACCCATGCAACAGTTTGTGGAAGGTGTCAAAATGATACCAATAGTTTAATTGGGAAGTAAAGTTAAAATGTGTTACACACATACTGAAATGATATACTCAACTTAAGTAATTGTTAACATTATCTGTATATGATACTGATACCTAAAAAATCAACATGCAGGTGAAAAATTTTGGGTAAAGTGAAACCTATCTTATATTTGTAGGTTTATATAATATATTAGAGCTCAAGTCTGAAGATTAATAATTTTTACAGATAAAATGTTCATATTGGAAAAACTAAAGAACCGCTATAAAAAACAAAGTTCTCAAGGAAACAGTTGTATACATTTTTAATAAATACACTATCTTATGAACAAGTGTTGCTGATTTGTATTTTTATAATTGAATAATCATTTCATAGACATTGATGAGTGTCAAGAAGAAAATGTGTGCACTGGATCTGATAAAGTTTGCATTAACACACGTGGGGATTACAGATGTCATACTATTAACTGTCCAACAAATTATGAACGAGACACCCAACATAGATCGTAAGTATCACATTCCATGAAATATTTTATTGTAATAAAAGTTACTTGCTTTTATTGTCGGAAATTGTTATTGAGTAATTTGTTGTTGTTTGATGCTTTATTTTATTAAATTATATCCTCAGACATCAACTGTATTAACAAATATATTTTTAATGTCTCTGGAAAATTTTGTAGTTAAACTGCATAATAATGATACTGAAGTGCATACTGTTTCATGACTGAATAATGGTTTGGAACAAAGAATTTTCAGCAACATGAGAGTTTGATCTAGCAAAATATTGTTTAGAAATTTTGAGCATTGAAAATTTATTTCAGCTTTTTAGATCATAATATGAAACAGACCAAGTTAAAATTAAGCAAATTTAATGGAAATTACTCTGCCTTTTCTATAGGCTAGCTTTATAAAGATGTAGGCATGAGAGTATTAGTTTAATGGTCTGAACTATACTCTAAACAATAAAATCAGTTGAAAGAGCTTGTGATTTAAACTGCAATTGCTTGTAGTCATTTCTAAGAAATTATTAAGTTGCATGATAAAATCTTAAGTAGTCTCAGTACAAACCCCTCACTATGTTTATATGGACATTTTTTATGACATCAATTTTTCTGTTAATTAACACTGAGAATCTCACGTGGCTAAAGATATTGAATCAGTGTTTTTATATCTAAGTGACACTAAAACTTAGAAATACCTATATGCTATCACAATTTTTTTGCACTACTATTTAAGTTAATGTGTTTGTTTCTCATTCATATTCTTTTTACTATTCTGTATATGAATTGTAAATGTGACACTAAAAACAGTAATTCATATTAAGTGCATATGATAATCAAAAAGAATTTGAAATATATATCTGAGAATAAGAATTAATTTAAAAGTAATGGTTTCAACCCTAAAATATAAAACTACAATTTACATAAAATAATTCAATATGTTATCATAAATTATCCCAACTTGATGATGCCATCCAAAACATATTCATTTCATCAGAAATTTAAGTATGCAATAATACTAAAAATTAACTAAATATTGCTGAAAGATTAGGGATGGGAAAGTTAGAAATCTGCATAAGCTGTTATTTTTGTAGTTTTGATTTGCTACATCTCAAAAATAAAATATAAAAACCTAGTTATATAGTTGTTTTTTTTTTGGAAATTTCAACTTTTAATATAAAATGGGTAAAAAAATTTGCCTTTTAAATTGTTACCCATTATTGGTCAGTTTTTGTTTGCTGAATGCTATTACAATTCAAATAGAATTGTTTCTATTTGTTTTCTTTTTCATGAAAATTAATAAAAAGTTATGCAGATTTCTAAGGTGCTCTGTTCCCTTCTCTTACAGCCGCTGCAAGTTAAAGGTCTTCAACTGCCGCCCGGGTGATGCTGAATGCTTGAAGGAACCATTAAGCTATTCCTACAGTTTCATAAGCTTAACATCCAATTTCCCCATCCCGAAAACAGGAAAATTGAAGTTCTTCACATTGAGGGGGCCACTCATTCAGAGTAGCACTGTTGAGTTTTCTCTTGAACTGGTAGATGCACGAACTCCAAGTGGAATTGAACCTGTTCAGCAAAATTATTTTTCATTGCTCCGTCAATCCTCTCAAAATAAAGCAGTTCTTATGCTAGTTAAAAGTATCCAAGGGCCTCAAGAAATTGAACTGCAATTAAAAATGAAAATGTATCACAGTGGATTGTTCAGTGGCACAGCTGTAGCTAGGATTTTTATACATGTTTCAAGATATGAATTTTAATTAATCCTAGAATCCTTTTCTTTTTTGTTACTATTTTTAAGGGGATTTTTTTTGCTTTAAATGCTTTGAATTCTGAGCATTTAAATTCCAGCATCTTAGATCTCTCTGTTTTTTTTTGTTTTTTATAATTAGCATATAAAACTTAAATGATTGTCTTTACTAGTAGTAGTAAGGACGTCACTTTCCAGTTTTATTAAAGGTCATCAGGCTCATAAACATGGAAGTTCCAATAACATTTATTGGTTTGAATAGTTGTTGTTTTTTTGCAAGTAAAAATATATCTTAATTCATACCTGTGGTTTTTGTGAGTATTCTTGAAGTATGCGCTCCTTAAGTGACATTTATTTTTTTAGGTAATTTTAGATAATAAATACTGCAGTAAAATAAAAAGCAATGTAGATGGATAATGTCAAAATAATATGAAGAATTTTTCATAAAAATTACAACATTTTTGAATGTGCTAATTAGGCCCGATATATGAGATTGGAATGCCTCCATAATAAACAAGTTGAATTATTAAGGGAAAAAAGTCCTGAATGCAAACTTAATTTTGATAGTTCCACCAACCTCTTCATGAAAAGCAAATGATGCATTTCGTTAGTCTCGGGTCTTGACATAAATGTTGCACAACATTTTTGAATATGCTTATTAGGCTTGATATATAAGATTGAAACATCAGTCACTATAAATTTGATTTTATAATGACTAAAACTGCTAAACATAAACTTGATTTTTGTACTTCATAATTTTATTAAAAGTGTACTGCTGCATTTCACATCAGTCTTGGATCATTAAAGATGAGTTGCTATGTTGAAAGTAACTTCTTTGTCATACATAAGCTTAGTAGTGTTCTTGTGTTTTCTGTTTTCTTTAGTTACACTGTGTTTATATAGCTTTCCTTTGACTATTATCATATTTTAATTTTAGATAAAGAATTCTTGTTTACATTGTAACCAATACCCTGTCCATACATTAAATAAGCTTCTAGTTCAAATTGAGGTTCTTTTTTTAAATTAGGAATACTTTTATTTTTAAGTACAGTATCATATTATATAGAAACATTGGAATCTGATCATTCAGTACTTGAATTTCCTTTGATTGTATCATATCTTAATAATATAACACCATTAAAAAATGCTGTCTTTGTTCTTTTTTGATTCAGATGTGATATTGGATTTTTTCTTAGAAACAAATGTGAGTTTATAGAGAGAGCTGTAATACTGTACATTGCATTTTGCTTTGTTAACTGAATAAATATTCTTTCATGAAATTTTTAGTTGTGATGAACAGGCTTTTACAGGAGCTTACAAACAATATAATGATGGAAAATTAAACTATCTTATAATACCAGTGCTTCCGTGAATCTACAGTTTAAAAAAGCCTTCCTAATTTTATAAAAATAACTGTAGTTACAATGCATATATTTTTTTAAGCTGCTTTACATGTAGTTGCATTGTATTGTTAAACCTGTTTAGACCTATAATACTATGTGAGTTAAGAAAACTAAAGTAGTGTTATTAATTATTCCATATTTTGATATGTTTATATATCTTAAAAACTTTGTGTTTAAAAAATTTTCTACTTTAAGGCTCTTCTGCTTATGTTATACTTGTCAATACATTGTAAACAAAACTTAATGTAATCAGAAAATATTTTTACTGTTATAAAATAAAATCAGATACTGGAAATGAAAATGTATAAATATTTAATAAATCAAATAAGATTTTCACACAGTAAAAAACAGTGTTATAATGACATTTCATACCATAAATTTTATGTTTGAGATTACAATCTATGACTTCACTGTATTTTAACACACGTTTAGTTTATGAGATTTTATTAATCCTTTTATGATGAAGAGAAGTAATTTGTGCATGATTATAATATTCTTGATTGAATATTTAATCCTAAATATACAGCCTTTAATACTTTCAGACTGAATCAAAACATTTCCAACTTGTAATATTTGCAAATGAAAAATTTATAGCACTCAAAATGTTACTGCAAAGCATAACTTGAATACTTGGCAACTAGAGATGTTTGATATTTGTAGTAATGATTAAATTGTGAAATTATTTTATTTTGCCATCATTGCTTAAACATTATGAAAAATAATAAAAATTAAAGCACAATAAATAATAAAAACATAACTTCTAGCAGTTTCTACTTAGCCTTCATTTTCCTTAGTCTAATCATTGCTGACAATAGTTAAAGTTGCATTGGCCTTCTGTAAGTTGTAATAGAATGCTAATAGCTGGATGTACATGTATTCTGTTTTGCTGTTCCTATGTTGCTTATAACGAGCATTCAGCAGTAAAACAGTATGTTCTAACTTTGCTAAAGCACTGATTATAAATCAGTTAGATATGCTTGGATATATACAACCACAACAGTGTCTAGAAGCACTGTTCCTTTAAAGTAAAAAAATAAATTAATCGTTATTTTATGCTGTAGTTCACCTTTATCTTTTGACTGCAAGGTATTTCAAGCCACATGGTGTGAAACACTTCATGTTACTGACACAGAACATTGCTATTGTTCAAAGATTGTGATTGTTACATGTCTAAAATCTACACAAAATTGTATTTCTTCTATATATATATTTTCACCTTGAAACAGTAATTATTTAATGAAGAACTATAATTAGTCCCTATTTCGTGGTTTTAATATGGTAAGGCTATAACTGTATGAATCTTTTTTTTTATATAAACATTAAAATACTTACAAACTTCACAAGTTCCATTTCTCAGTTGACAGAGCATTAAGTTTTTCAGTGATAAATAATGAACTTATTTTTGGATTATGCTAGACTATCTGAAAATACATTAAATCATCAAGTTTCTTATTAAAACTTTAGAAAACAGTGAATGCATGAAACTAAATTATGTATCATGAACGCTCTCCTATTCGTTAGACATGTCCCACAAAGGTGTTTTTATAAACTGGTAACAAAAGGGTTAATGTTTGTTGTGATATGTAGGCAAAGATTATTGCATTAAGTATCTTCCTCTTTATAATTTTTAGGCTATTATGGAAGCATTTTATTTAAAACAGTTGTGCTTTTGTGATGGAATATTAATACATAAATGTAAAACAATTTTCATATAATGTCATTAGCTATGGGTAGGAACAAAGCACATTGGAATTAAACAGAAAAAATAGTGTAAGAACATATCAAGGAATACAGATATTTTTTCTTAGAACTTAGATATATGCATTAAAGGGAATAATAAATAAATGTAATTAGAGTAGAAAATTATTCAGTTCAATACTTCAGTTTTTATGTGTAAAGAAAACATACATATATGCAAGGGAGATTTTCTAATTCAACAGAAATTTGTACGTATAAACTTATCTTTAGCAATCTCTTTCATAATCAAGTTTTCTTCTTCCATACAATAAACAGCTTACTGTGTTTACCATTTTTGGGAATAATTAGCTCAATAATAACTAAACAATGTTTAAAACTTATTTCTTTGAGTTCTGTTTCTCATTTGAGTTAAACCTCAGAAAATGTATTTTTCAAAAGGTACCAAGAAGAAAACACTATTGTTTGCCGGAAAAGATGCCGTTCAGTAGATAGTGACTGCATCTTTAACAACACTCAGTCTATTAGCCACCAGTTTATTATCCTCCCTGCAACTTTTTCCACGTTTCGTAAGCCTATTATTGTCACAACAATGAGAGCAATTACACTTAATTCCCAGACATTTGATACTGAATACCAGATTCTAAGTGGAAATGATGATAATTATTTTGACATACTTCGTGGGCAAGGTGTAGGTAAGTTTCCCCAAATTCTGTAAGCCTATTATTGCCACATTAATGAGAGCCATTACATTTATTTCCCAGAGTGTTGACCCTGAATACTAGATTCTAAGTGGAAATGATGAGGATTTCTTTTTTATGTTTTTCATGGGCAAAAGGAAGGTCGGTTAAATTCCCTAACTTCTGTCATTTCTTTACTAGAGATTTTTTTAAAAGTAAAAATATGTTTTAGTGATGTATGTATTATTATCAATTAGCTGAAATGCATTTTATGTTACAAATAAACATCTATTTAGATTTTTTGTGTAAAATAAATTGCTTATTCATGAAGCTGCAAGAAGATTCTATATTTTGGTATTTGGTCTTAGTCATTGAACTTGCATCTTACCATGATTTCTATAAAGTATTGAAATGAATGAATTAAAAAAGAAAGTATTCGTTAATTTGTGACTAAAACTATTTTGTCATGGTTTTGAAATCTGTATTGAGAACTAGTAAACCTAAAATTCTTAATAAAAACTAAACTTAACTGATGATGGTTTCTTCCATGTTCCTCTCAATTTCTTCATCATTAATAACAACTAAAATTTATCTTTTGTCTGCCATATGTCACTGTTCTAGAGACCTTACATTCAGGACTAGAACTCATTAACTGAGTTGGACTCCAACAACCAAAAGCTGGTCTGAAATTTAATTACATTTATATAAATTGAAAGTTTTATTGTTAATGTTATGAAAACTGAAAGTCAAAAGGTGGGCAAAGCACTGTGAACCAATATACCTAATATTCATACAAAAATCATACTTGATAGGAGAAAACTTTGAAAAAATTCCATCTGCATACAAGCATGATTTTTATCACAAATGTTCAAATTATTTTGTTTAAAGCATTTCAAAAGACATGAAATCATCATAAAACTTAGTAACTAACCTGCTAAACAGTACTAGTGCTTGGATTTTTAAATTGTAAATAGATATCTGAATAACTATGTAAATATGATCCAAAAAAGGTATATGAAACTACAGAGATTGAACACATTTTATAAAAACAATGTTGGAGCCTCACAATGCCATTACTAACCATGTCCAGTCATGCTCTCTATCTGATGATTGTGCATCTTGATAATAGCTCTACAACATAGTTTTCATTAATAAAGCCTTCATCGTGAAGTTTTCAGGTCCAAATCATACCACTCCTCCTTGCATGGCTTTCCATAATCCAGCTAGGATGTCAGTCTCCAATTACCCATTTCAAAAGTCCAATCACACAGACATCCATAGGCTTGTATCCAGTGGCTTGATTTAATATGTCTCCTTATGAAATAGAATGAATGCCCATTAATTTTAATTTGCTTTCAATGACTGAACAGGAGGAAGGAGTGTATGATGGGAAACTTTGCAAACCCATACAATGTTGGCCTCATTTCTAGATGGGGATTCTACATGAATATATTGTATACTGTTGCCTGGGTCATGTGGATAGTTTTTATCACTGATCTTTGCATTCATGGATTCTTACCTGTTACAAGATACAGCAGCTAGAGTACAAATTGTTGTGGTCTTTTTTTGGATGATCCTGGACCCTAGTTGATCCATATTCCTTTGTTTTCTAATGCCATTAAATACAAAGAGTATCCTCATCTTGTAAATGCTAAATCCCCGATTCGGACATGTGTATGAATGTTTTGCATTGGAAAGGGCTCTTAAATACCATTCCCAAAAATTGATAAATCTTTAGTGTTATCACAATACCTACAAAATGCTAAACAATGATAAAATGTAACTCTGATAAATTATGTTCCACTACAACTTTATATGGGTTGTGATTGTTACAGGACTTGCATATTCAAAATTATTTTAACATAACACACTCAATATTGAAGAAAGGAGAGTCGCTCAGTAGCTTCTTGCTTTGAACTCATAGTCATATGGTTGCAAGTTCGAGGGTGTTTAACAATGTGCCGTTGTGTCATTGAGCAAGACACTTTACCCCAATTGCTTTAGTCTAACCAACTATCTGCTGGGTGCCAGCTGTTAGCTAAGTCCTGCAATGTGTCACCATTCTCATCTGCCTGTGCTAATTAAGCTGGACTTTAGCACTGGATCTTATGTGCCATCTCAATATGGGAGTGATTTGACATTCAATCTTGAAAAACCTAAATGTCAAATTTGAAAGTACAATGCTTTTCTTAGGTATATTTCTATGGCACTTTTTACTGGAAATCATTATATACAATTCTTTCCTTTCCTTTAAACTTGTGTATAGCTTGTAATCCTACTTTTTGATCTGATAACGTTTTCTGTATAATTTCATGGTATACTGACTGGTATTTTGCTTTGGAATAATTCTTAGCAAATGTGACTTTGTTATAGTAAATTGATTACAATAATATTTTCTTATAATTATCAGTTTAAACTTTGCTATTTGCACAGGTATTTAAAGAGGCATATAGACCAAATTTTTGCTCAGCTGTTGATTAAAGTATTGTCTTTAACCTAGTTTTTCTCTGAGTATATTTACCCACTCTTTCATATTTTAGGTTCTCTTCGACTTGTACGTGCCATCAGAGGGCCACTTTATTTGATTTTGAAAATTCAGTTGCTAGTTCACCTGCGAAGCTCTTTTGGTGCTGCAAGGACCACAACACAACATCTGGGCTTCATTCACATTTTTGTCTCTGAATACGAGTTCTGAAGTTATCAAGACAAAGATCAGTTCTAGTTTATATTCAGCTGGTATTTTTACAGTGTGACTAAATGTTCTGCTGTTTGTCGACAATAACTCATTATAGAATTTGAAATATTGACATCATAATATTGTAGTTTTATAACAGGAATGAATATATTCCTCATGTCCTTATCTTATTTATATATATTAAGGGCTGATTTTAAATTTTTTGTTTCTTTTACTAAATGAAAAATATTT